GTTGGCGTAGTCCAGGATGTTGCCTTCTGGCCCCCACAGGGTCAGCTGGTAGCGGCTATTCTGCTCATAGAAATCGGCCTCGGCCTCACTGACGGTGGCGTGGTGGCACGCGTCTGTAGTCCCAGCTACTCCGGAGGCTGAGGCAGAAGAATTGTTTGAACCCAGGCGGCGGAGGCTGCACTGAGCCAAGATGGCGACACTGCACTTCAGCCTGGGCATCAGAGAGAGACTGTCTCTAAAAAAAAAAAAAAAGAGGTTTTCCTTCAACAGGAGGCATTCTCCTTTCAAAGGAGAGGGGTTAGTATTAAAAACAGGGATGTGATCCAGCACTATGGCTCACTCCTCTAATCCCAGTACTTAGGGAGGCCAAGGCAGGAAGGCAGGTGGATCACTTGAGGTCAGGAGATCAAGACCAGCCTGGCCAACATGGTAAAACCCCGTCTCTACTAAAAATATAAAAATTAGCCAGGAGTGGTGGTGTAAGCTTGTAGACACAAAAGAATCGCTTGAAACCAGGAAGTAGAGTTTGCAGTGAGCAAAGATTGTGCCATTGTACTCCAGCCTGGGCAAAGAGCAAGACTCCATCTAAAACAAAACAAAACAAAACAAAAAAACAAACAAAAACAGGGATGTGAGGCAAGGGATGGGAGAACAGGTCCCACCCCGGGGCCATGCTATAGCCCTGAGTCCTCCCAATCATGGCAGCAGTGACCTTCTCATTCTGACAGACCCAGGGGACTCATCAGTTTAAGTGGAAAGAAAACAGTACTTTAATCCCACACTTTGGGTGGTGGTGGAGGGCAGTTCATTTCCCTCCAGTTGCCCCAGGCCACACCCCACCAGCAGGCCATGGGGCCTCCTCCCAGGCCTGGGTTATCCTGTGATGCTTGTCCAGCTCCAGGCCCTGGAACCCGCCCCGGCTTGGAGTTAGTGGAAAACAAGGCCCAGGGTGGCGAATCTATCACCAAGAGCCAGCCACCCAGCGGGGGTAATATTTGAGGAAGATCTTCTTGGCCAGGTCCACGGTGTCTCCTCGTGGCTGGCTGGGGTACCTCTGCTTGCTGAGGACGAAGGCCTGCTCCAGTTGGAAGGCATTTTTGTCAAACTGGTGCTGTTGGAAAGGGATGCCCTGGGCCACACTGTCAGCCAGCGCCTCCAGGAAGAGCCGCCAGCGAGGGGTGTAGTAGTTGGCCACCAGCCCCGCCAGCTGCTTGTTGGCGTAGTCCAGGATGTTGCCTTCTGGCCCCCACAGGGTCAGCTGGTAGCGGCTATTCTGCTCATAGAAATCGGCCTCGGCCTCACTGACGGCCGCTGCTCGGGCCTGCTCCAGCCAGCTGCCCAGCAAGAAGCGGCTGTCACTTGCCAGCAGCTCGTCCAGCGCCGGCAGCAGTTCATAGGCCAGGACGCCTCCAGCCCTCAACAGGGAAGTCAGCTCCTTGCTCAGGTAGGCACTCCTTGCCTCCTCATAGTACAAGCTGACCAGCTCCTGCACCGCCTGCCGAGTGAGGTCCAGCAGGTCATAGCGGAAGGCAGGGCTGGCGGCCAGGGAGGGAGCAGATGTGAGCAGCAGCCGCCAGGCCTCAAACACACTGGATCGGTTGTACCAGACACTGGTATTCATCTGTAGGGACGGCCGCCTGACCAGCGGGCTGCGATTGTGGCCCCTGCAGGCCTCCCCGGAGCAGTTGTACACACTCCGGAGCAGTAGTCTCCACGCTGCCCCTGCGTCTGGATGGGAGACCCCATACCGCTGGGCAGCAAAGTTGGTCACCCAGGCCGCCAAATCTGGCACTGGGTCCTTTCGCCAGCCCAGCTCAGCCATGAGGGAATAGACCACTTCGTTCTGGCTGATGCCCTCGGGGGCCATGCCCGTGCCTACCATGGTGGAGTTGGGGAAGAGGCGGGCAGCTTCTGGACCTCCGTTCACGGCCTCCAGGGCTCCAAACAGACCATGGTTTCCCCCAAAGTTGTGCAGCATGCACCAGATGAAAGGCTGGCCCTGGAAGGAGGCGGTGCGGGTGTACACAGGCTGGCTCTCAGCAAACAGGTCCAGAACCAGGAGGCGGCCACGAGGCACAGCCCCCAGCACAGCCCCAATCTGGGCGGGCCCCCAGAACTGGGGCTGGTGCTGGAAGAGCCAGCCTTGAAGCAGCCACACAGCCTCAGTATCCACTGTGGTCAGGAGGTGGGGGGAACAGAGAAGAGGAGTGATGAGACAGAGGTGCCAGGGAATGTTCACCCCACTCTACGGACGACTCTCTCTATCCCAGGGCATGGCTTCCCGTGACCCCCACCAGCGGGACGCTCTGTCGCACATACGCTGCCCCGTCCTTATCGCTTCCTTCTGGAAACTCCAGCACAGGGTTCAGCAGCTTGGGGGAACATGAGAGTTACCCAGAGGGCTCCTTAAAACATGGGGCTTCCTGGCCGGGCGCG